CCCTCAGCCTAGGCCGGTGCCTCCACTCCTGTCCGAGGCCCACTCGGCTCCCTACCTGAGGACAAGGCTTCCCTTGTCTCCCACTACAGCAGTTACCGCCTCGCACCAGCAGGCTGGGCGGGCTCCCGTCCCTCCCCGCTCTCCCTGGAACCCGTATCCCCGCAGCCTCCACAGCTTTGCTCCACCTCCCAGTCCCAAGTGGAACCACTCCAAAATTGTTTTTGATCCCAGAGCTGCCTCCATAGAGCTAAATACCAAGGTATAATCTCCATCCTCATTGGACCTATCAGCAGCAGGTGGGCTCTCTGGAGCCTCCCCCATCCCCACAACCTTTAACGCCCCGAGCCCTCCCTCGCAGCTCGCCCCTCAGTGGGCTTCCCAGCCACACTTCCACAACCCGCTATGTGTGAAGGTACCAGATGCTTACACCCAGCCCAGATGCTCCTGACACCGAGATGCTGAGAGCCAGCGCCTGCGCTGCAGCGCCCCGGGAATGCCCAGCAAACCGCTGATTGCCCTGCCGCAGGCTCCCCCACTCCTTTCACCAGATGACACCCACCTCTGCTCCCACCCACCCTCCCAGTCTGCTGCCCACAGGGACCAGAAGGAGCCTCTCAAAGTGAAACAGCAGATCCTCGCCTCCCTCCCTCCTCTGCGCCAGCCTGTTAGCTCCCAGCTCACAGAAAGAGCCCCAGTCCTCCCAGGGCCCCTGACGGGTCATCGCGGCCTTCTTCTTCCCTCTTCCCTCAACGATGCCTTCTTGCGGTTCATTGCTCACAGCAAGCACCCCACCACCACCTCAGGGTCTTTGCACTCCCTGTTTCCTCATCTTCCTAGTGAGGCCACACCTAGAGCAGCCACCTCGTCTTCCCACACCCGAAGTCTGCTCACAGGGCTCTTCCTTCCTCAGCTCTCCTGGCAGACCCTTGATCTCCCCGCCGGGATGGGCCCTCTCAGGGCATCCCCAGCCCCCTGACCGTCCTCTTCCTGGCATTTGTCATGATGCACAGGCCCAGCAGACCAATGTGGGCACTTTCAGGGCAGGGCCACACAACTGTGCCCAAGTGTTTGCTGAAAAGATAAATGAAGCTGAGCCATTCTGCTCCCCACCCCCACCCCCACCCATGCCCTGGGGAGAGCGTGCATGTCCCCCACTTCCCCCAGGACACTGGTTACCTGCAGGGCCACCAAGGTGTTAGCCAGGGCCTGTCCGTAGGTGTCGTGGCAGTGGACAGCCAGGGCAGCCACAGGAACCTCTTGCATGACAGCAGAGAGCATGTCCTTCATGGCCCCTGGGGTACCCACCCCGATGGTGTCCCCCAGGGAGATCTCATAGCAGCCCATTGAGTACAGCTTCTTGGCGACCTGGGGAGGCAAGCAGGCAGTGGAGGCCCGGGGACAGAGTCCTGGGTCTAGGGTCTGAAGTGCTCAGCTCCTGTCCCGTCCCCACCCCTGTCCTTGAAAACACTCTGGTACCACCCCCTTCCACTGAGCACACAGCGGAAGGCTGAGCCGGGAAGGGGCAGGACCGCCTGGCACAGGGCCCGTGGTGCCAACCCCTGCAGCTCCTCACTGCTTGTCACTCTCAGACTCAGACCTTCACACGCTGTCCTGCCCAGGGGACGGGAGCCAGGCAAATGGCTCCTTTCATGAAGGCCCACGCACACCAACGCTGCTGGGCTGGCTGATTCCCGGGACCCGTGTTGAAGGGCTCCGCCGGGTTTTCTTGGACGCCCCTGGTACACAAGCAGGTTTCCAGGGCTTCTGCCCCAGCAGCAGGGGTGAGTCTGCACCCAGCCTGTAGACTGGACCTCGGTCTCAGCGCACTGGTGCCAGCCCAGGACCAACAACCTTGGGAGGAAGGCCGCCTGCTTCATGGGTGGGGGTGCTAGGTAGCTGGGGGTTTAAAAGATCACTTTATTGGGCTCTCCCAGCCCTTATCACAATCCACACATCCACGTGTCCAGCACCTTGGCACATACGCTGCCACCCCCTTTTCAAACATTTTCTTTCTCCTTGAGACTCCTGTCCACACCTTACCTTTTCCACCTTTCCTTTTCCCTCCTTATCACCTCCTCCCCCCCCAGCCTCCTCCCCTCATAACCCTTGATGGATTATACATTTTTATTATTTTCATATCTTACACTGTCCGCTGCCTCCCTTCACCCATGTTTCTGTTGTTTGTCACGGGGGGAGGGGGGGGGCGGGGGGGCGGTGTTATACATCGATCATGCGATAGCTTCCCCCTCCCCACCCCCTTTACCCTGAGGTAGCTATTTTTAACAGAGGTTCCAAACTACTTACACTTCAGAAGTCCCATCTGCACACCCCCAACATCACCACATGACTGGAGTGGTGCGGGCCCCACCCTCGGCCCTCGGCCCGGCTGCTGGCTATGGCAGAGGGAGGCGGGGGCAGTGGCCTGGCACACTCCCACTCAGGCAGTATAAGGAGTGGGCGGCCTATCCTGTCAGGAGGCAACAGGGAGCAGAGGCCGGAGGGAGCACAGGCCGCTCAGTCGAACGGGCCCAGAGCCGCGGCCAGCTCTGCTGCTGACAGTTGTAGGGCTTCGTACCAGGGACTTAAGCTTTCTGGGCTTCCAGAAAAGAGTGATGACCCCTGGTAGGGCTAGGACAGCGAGGACTGGGCACTGTGTGGCCAGCACCTGGGGTACAGGAGTATCATGGTTCCCTTTCCCGTCCTTGTGGGAAGAGCAAGTGGGCTCTGGAGATGGACAAAAGTGGGCTGAGTCCTGGCATTTCACCTCAGTTGCCTGGACTGGGCAATGGGCGGGGACTGCCCAGTTCACAGGTGGCTGCGAGTGGGCAGGGCCGTCAACTCTGGGGTTTCCCACAGTCAGCGTGGACTCAGTTCCTGTTACAAGGGCAGTGAGGGTGGTCAGGGCGTGGCGTCGCCCACTGGGAATGGCAGGACGCCCTCCTCAGAGGTCTGCACCCAGCCTGCCTGCTGAGCGGCCACAAGCCGGAAGCAGGAAGGGGTTTGCCTCTTGGGGAGAGGATGGCCTTCAGAGACCACAAGCTGGCCTGGAGGCAGCTCCCAGGGAGCAAGCTCAGGGCAGTGCCCACAAGGGGGCGTAACAAAGCTGAGTAATGCGTGATGGACACAGTGAGCCGCCAGGCAGGGCACCAGAGGACTCTATCCTCGGGGCCAGGCAGTCAGCCCCAACCGCAGCCCAGACAGAAACCCACCTCAGCTACTTTAGCGGGGGAGATCTTCCCTTCGTAGGGGCATCCCAGTACGCAGGAGACGTACCTGTGGGAAGACAGGGAGGACTGCAGTCAACGCTCCTGAGCGCTCTGGCCACCAGGACCAAGACCAGGGGGATGTTTGGTCTGCCTGATGCTGGGCACAATGGAGAGTGGAGCTGAAAGGCTATGCAGAGGTGAGGCCAGACGCAGGGGGTGATGCTTAGCACCAGGAGGTGGCAGTAGAGTCATGGCAGAGAAGGGAGCAGGGCTAACAGAAGTCATTTAGGAAGTGCAAGATGCTTAGCCAGCCAAGGATCCACAGTAACAGTCAAAGACGAGCCAAGGAGAAAGTAGAGAGGGTAACATGAGCCCAGGGTGGACTGAGCAGGGGTACAGCACTGGGCCCAGACTGGAGGAAACTCAAGACAGGAAGTGGAGCTGGGTAGGAGTTGGGCCACTAGTAGGCTAGACCAGGCCGAGGGCCAAAGACTTAGCTCAGTGTAGTGGGCTGTCTGTCAGAGGCTCCACTCATTCACTCGTCCGTACACAGAGTTGCCCACTATGTGGCAGGAACCGGGCACAGCGCAGTAGGCACACTGACAAGGTCTCAATCCTTCTAGAGAGAGAGATGACCAACAGCCCAAACTCACTGCCATCGAGTCGATTCTGACTCACAGCGATCCTCCAGGACCAAGTCGAACTGCCCGCTTGGGTTTCCAAGACTGCAGCCCTTCACTAGAGTAGGAAACCTCGTCTGTCTCCTGCGGAGCAGCTGGTGATTTTGAACTATGGACCTTGTGGTTAGCAGCCCAATGCGTAGCCCACTACACCACCAGGGTTCCAAGATAACCGAGAGAGAGACGATCAAGAATGTGAGAGAATTTCGGAGCGTGATGTGCTTCCAAGGAAAACAGGGAGATGTGACAGGCGCGGCTCTTGCTGTAAGATGCCCTTGATTAGTGCCAACTCATTGCAACCTTATACAGAGCAGGACACAATGTCGCCGGTCCTGCACCACCCGGTCATGACTCTCTCGGCGCCTACTGGCCTCACTGTGTCCTTCCACCGCATTCATCTGACTTCCTTTTGTTGGTTGACCTTCTTCTCATGCATGATGTCTTGGTCCTTCCTGAAGACATGTCTGAAGCAAGTGACACGAAATCTCACCGGCCTCACGTCTAAGGAGCATTTCAGCTCTACTTCTTCCATGGGAGATTTGGTCACTCTTCTGGCAGCCCATGGCATTTTCAATATTTTCTCTCATACCACCATTCCAATGTGTCCGTTCATTTTCCATCCTCCCTCCTCACTGCATGGCGCAATTGAAGCTACCACGGCTTGGGCCGTGCGGCTCGGTCAAGGTGGTGAAATGAAGGTACCACGTGGGGATGGTTCTTCTATGCGTGCCAGTTCTGTCGTTCTGCTGGTAGAAGAGTAAGCCGCCTCAGACACAGGAACAGGAAATCCACGACCGTCAAGGACGAGGAGCCACCAGCTGAGCACACGTGAGATCCTTGCCGGACGCTGGCAGAGGCGGCAGAAGCCCCGGTCCTGGAACCATGAGACAGAGCGAGCAGAGACACGGTGTCAAGACCACGAGACAGAGTGACAGGCAGAAGCTAAGGGACCGTGTGGCTGAGAGGCCAAGAACCACAGAGACATGCTAAGCAGCATGGTTGAGAAAAAGCGCTACTGGAAAAAACGGTTTCCTTAGTGTTTTGTAATCTCTTCACCTCCCCAATAAATGCCATAATCTTTTATCCTTATTGGTGAGTTCTGTGGGGCATATACAATGAATCCACGAACCCAATGGAGAAGTAAGTGCTGGTAGAGAAGAAGCCGGCGTCGGACTCGGGTAACAAAAGCCCGAGAGTGGCAGTATGTCCGAGCGCTGTCTGGGGTGGAGTTGGATGCCCCTTCTCCTTACATAGCCAGAGGAGGTCACACACGGGCCAACGTCATTGACTCAGTCATTACAGTAGCGCCTTGGCTTTTTCACACTTTAAGAGGTCTTTGGCAAGGCCTAATATATGAATCTTCTTTTTCCCTCAAGCTTTTCACTGTGAATTGGGTGAAGGTATATAGCGCTGATCATCAGTTGTACGTTGAACAATTCACATACATTGTTTCATCTCACTCGCTGCAATCCCCGCCATGTAGCCTACTGATGCCGACAGCTGCCTCTATGGGCACTGACTGCTGATCCAAGAGTGAAGCCCTTGACAACTTCAACGTCACCATTCTCCATGATGCTGTCTACAGGTCCACTTGTAAGGATTTCTATCTGCTCTGTGTTCAGGTTCAACCCACACTTTAGTCAGTTACCTTCATCGGGAAGCGCTACGATTCTTCCTCACTGTCAACAAGCAAGGGTGTGTTGTTGTCTGGATATCACGGCACGTTGAGTCTCCCTTCATCCTTCTTCATATAGCCCAGTTTCTTAGATGATCTGTTCACCCATAGATGGAATAAGTAAAGGTAAATAAAAGAATGCAACACTTTTTGGGTTTTAAACCAGGTAGTATTCCCTTGTTCTTTTTGATCAAATGCCTCCTAAGCCATGTACAGGTCCGGCATGAGTTAAGTGTTCTGGAATTCCCAGTCTTCATAATGTTACCCATGACTTACTATGATCCACACAGTCAAACACCTTTGCCTAGCCAATAAAACACAGGGAAACATCTTTCTGGTATTCTTTGTTTTAAGCCAAGTTCCATCTGACATCAGCAATGACACCCCTTATTCCATGTCCTCTCCAGGCTTCATTGTGAACTTCTGGTAGTTTTCTGTCAATGTACGGCTGCAACCATTTTTGAATCATCTTCAGCAAAATTATGCTAGCATGTGAAATTAATAATAGTGTTTGATAACTTCTGCAATCTGCCTTTCTTTGGAATGGGCATGAATATGGACCTCCTTCCAGTCAGGTGGCCTGATAACTCTGTTTTGAATTCCTTGGTATTGACCAGTGAGCACTTCCAACGTTGCATCTGTTTGTTGAAACTTCTCAGCTAGGACTCATCAGTTCTGGGAGCCTACTGGTCACCAGTGCCTTTTGCTGAGTGAAACCTGGAACAACCAGAAGAGGCTGCAGTAGCTAGATGGTCCAGGACACGATGATGGGGCTGTAGGATGTGCACTCCAGGCTGGGAGGAGCAAGTATACAGGCCCTGAGAAGGAAAGGGGCTCGGGATGTTCGAGACACAGAACCAATAATGAACTACTGAGGCATCAACAGCAAGCGTCAGGGAATATGAGGTGGGGGTAGAAAGGTGGGCTGAGCCCTGATCATGGAGTATTGCAGGTTAGATGCAGACAGCTTCTAGTTCCACCCGTCCTGTTGTTCCACCCCCTTAAAGCCCTTCAACGCCTAGCAAAGTATTCCATATACTTTGTTGCTGTTAGGTCCTGAGCTGGCTCACAGCGACCTTATGTTCAACAGAATGGAACACTGCCAGGCCCTTAGCTCACTGTTGCAGCCACAATGCCAATCCATCTCCTTTTTGTGGACCCTCTGTTTTATCAAGCACGATGCCCTTTTCTCAGGGATTGGTAGCATATTAAGAAGTTGGCTGGATAAGTAATTTTTGACTCTAAGAGGTCAGTGTACTTTTCCACTTGAATTTTCCCACTTAGCCTCCAAACATTGCTGAGCAGCAAAACGAGAGCTACGGAGAACACTGCACAGCTTGGGCAGTGGATCTGCCTGGCTCCCCAGTGCACAGTCTTAGTTTCCCTGAACTGATGGGCCAAGGAGCACACCAGGGCCCGAGAGAGGCACAGGCAACCCTTAGGAGCGAGAAGGGATTTAACAGGCAGCTAAGAGCTATTGTGGAGGTCGTCCACAGGCTGTGGGGGGAGCAGCATCCACCAAGGACCTGAAGGGTGAACAGGAGGAGGAAGAATGCCTGAGTCCAAAGATAAGGTCCAAAGGCAAGACAGCTTGTGCCACACTGAAACGAAGGCGACTTGCACTGGGGGGCAGCGCGCAGGGCAAGCAGTGGCCAGTGGGGTTCGGTGAGCAATGGGGCTGCAGAGTGGCTGGGGATGAATTTCACAGGGTCTTGCAAGTCACGTGGAGAAGCCTGAACCTGGGGGAAAATTTCGAACCACAGAGAGATGTGATCAGATGTGAACTTCGGAATGATCACTCACTATGATTTGGACAATAAGGAAGCTGTGTGGTCTTGGGTTATTCATCCTCGATGAGCCTCAGTTTTATCATTTGTAAAATGGAGGGAGCCTCTTTCTCACTAGACTGCTGTGCTATCAAAGAAGTGATATTGGAAGCTTAAAGGGCTAAGGTAGCCCTCAGGAGCAAGGGAAGAGAGGTGGTGAAGCCGAGACCACACTGATCTCACAAGCCCCACGTCCTGTCCTGCCTGCCTGCTAGGTTCTTCTGACACCCCACCCTAGTGAGGGCGCCCGAAACGCAGGCTTCAGAGACAGCTAGTCCTTTTTCTGAGCACATACACAAAAAGGCATCTAGGTGTGGAGCTCGGGCTGCCCCAACACAGGACAGAGTGTGTATGCGGGAGAGCCACTTGAGTGAGAGCCCAGCCCCGTTCAGAAGGGTTTTGAGAAGACGTGCAGTCTCAGAGTGGTCTGACTCACCCCCGCACGCGAATGCTGTCTGCCTGAGCGGCCTTTAAGATACTGTCGAAGTGCTGAAAACTCTCTTCGATGGAGCAGTTGATGTTCTTCTTAGTGAAGAGCTCGGAGGCCGCTCCAAAGATGGACACTTCCCGGGCTCCAGAAGCAACCTGCCAACAGCCAGGGGAAGGCCTCTCAGCGTTTGCCTCATCAGACACTGGCACAGCCGGGCAGCACCCCCTGTGCCTTTAGGTAAGAGCCACGGTATGTAAATGGTAGTGCAGCGAAAAGGAAAGACCTCCGCCTTTCTCCCAAGACAACCACCACCGCCGTCACCACCGGACAACCGCTCTTGAAAGAAGCCTTTTCCGACCTGCAGAGGCAGCATTCCCAGCAGCGAAAGCGAGAGGATGCAGCAGGGACTCTTGGAATTCTTGTTGAGAACGTGGTTACCGCTCCCGAAAGAGGAAGTGGCTACTGAAAACGAAAGCTAACGCTGATGAAGCATTCACGGGACCCCAGGGTCTTGCTAAGCAGTGTGCGTGCATTCCACCTTCTGGGGGGGGGGGGGTGAGTGGGGCTGCTAATCGCAAGGTCGGCAGTTTGAAACCACCAGCCGCTCTGGGAGGAAGACGAGGCTTTCTGTTCCCGTAAAGACTTACGGTCCGGGCAACGCAGAGGGGCAGCTCTCTGCCCCGTGGGACTGCTGTGCGTCAGAACGGACTTGATGGCAATAAGACCACTTGCTGAACTCCTCACAACGGTAGTGCAAGTATCAGTCCTATTTTACAAACTCCGAAAGGTTGAAGCAACTTGTTTTGACCACAGAACAGGAAGTACCAGAGTCTACCTCATGGTGCTCTATCCCCGAAGACAACTGTTCAGACAGACATCTCAGGGCAGGCAACAGAGGCCCAGAGCCAGGACCCAAACGCAATCAAGCACATCCCAGCAGCCCTTCCCCCGCCAGGCAGTCCACTTACCGCTGTCTGAAAGCCTCTGAGGTTTGGGGTCAGGACTGGGTAGCTGATGCCAGGAAATCTCTGGATGCCCTTCAAGACTTCGGCATGGTCAGCCATCTGGGAGCCAAGAGAGACACTGCTGAGTCATTACCAAGGACGTCAGAGAGCTTGGGTGGAGAAAACCTCTGTGCCACCAACTGCTCTCATGGAATGACCGGCTCCCTCTGCAGAGCTGCCTCCCCGGGCTGTTACTGTTTGTTTCCCTGCCCTGGGGCCAGAGGGACCCCCTCAATGTTGGTGATGCCCACCCACCCCACCCCCCAGTTTCTCCACAGGTCACACAGGCAATGACAGCAGGAAGAGCAATCGTCACCGCCGTTTATGTATGTCCATCCACATGCACACAAGGGAGGGCTTTACTTGGGAGTAAAGACAGACCCCCAAACCCAACAAATATTACTTTTTAATAAAGTGCTACTTTATTTTTTTGGGGGGGGTGGAGTTCAGCTAGTACTGCCATGTATAAAAATGCAAAAACCGCTTACAGGAATCTTCCCACTAGCACCCACATTAGTTCATCAGCTGGATCTTTCCTCCCTACTTGAGCTTCTCTGGGCAGGAGTCCTCAGCCCCCCTTCCCATGCAGAATGCAGCAGCAGCTACACCGACGCTCGACGTTCAGAGCCAGGAGAGGGAGAAGGCTGTTTCCACTCTGGGAAGGGCACTGACGGCTCCCGGGTCTTGCAGAGCCAAGTTTGAGTCTAGGCCTCAAGTCAGACTCTGTGCCCGGAGCCTGGTCACTTTTAAGGCAAATGCAAACTCGCTATCCCTTCCCCCTGAGAAACACTTTGCATTGTGGACTGGGGCTCACCTGGGGAACCCACTTGGGAGACACAAAGCTGGTAGCTTCTATGACAGGGAGTCCTGCTTCAGAAAGCATGTCGATCAGTTTGATTTTCACTGGTGTAGGGACAATGTTCTATAACAGAGGAAGAAAAATCCAAACAAAGGCGGTCAGCAAAGCTGGGGGAAGATGGCCTCAGGATGGCCACTCCCAGCCCGGACACCACGTGACTGTGCTTTCGCGAGAGCAAGCGCCTCACTAGCCCTCGGCTTCTGAACAGGACCACCAGTCTCATGTAAGTCCTGCCAATCGCGCAGCACGAAGTTGGTCTTTGAGTACTGCCGATCGAATTTTGTAGTGAGGTGGCTCTCACCTAAAAGGCGTTCTCATTTACATGGGCACCATATATTCCTGCCACAGAGCCTTGGCCTTCACCGTGTGCTCATGTATGGCCCACCATTAGCAAACCAGGACCAACAAGCTGTGGACCGGCACCCCACAGTATCAAACCTTCCCCTTTTCTGTCTCTCAACCCACCTGGACCTATCTTCACACGCTCAGCCTGTGGGCTCTTCCTCCCCCTCCCCCAGACCCTAGGGACTCATTTTCAAATCTACCACCACCTCCCTGTGTGCTGAGGGCTGGTTCCACGGCCTCCTCACATGCTGGGCCTAGAGAGGGACCTGGGGCAACGCACTTGCTGTGTGGCCATCTTTGGTCATCTGCCAGGGGGCCTCCCTGCCCCCTGTTCTTCCAAAGCAGCGTGGATGTTTGAGTAGCTCTGGTGGGCCCTGTTGCACCCACGCGGGCCCTCAGATGGGCTCCTCCCATCTTTACCTTTTCATTCTGTAATCCATCCCGCGGACCAACTTCCACAATCTTCACCTGCTTTGGCAGAGCGCCCAGAGTGGAGGTGCTCACCTTCGGGGGACAAGAGGAAACAAGAAGGAACAAGAAGAGGTTGTCATACTTCTCAGGGAGGGCAACCCCCCAAACTGGCTTCATTTTCCCTCCCACTGAGATAAGAAGTGCTATTTCTCCCCAGCTTGAGAACCACTGCTCTAGAAACAGGGATGAACCAGGGAGTCATGTTCTCAGTTCAGCTGTACCTGGAAGTGGACACACACTTCTATGATCCACTGCTGGAGGACAGTCAGCTGTCCCTGGCTGACTCCATCCTTCCCATTTCAGTAAGAACCCCCCCCTCGTGCATTCTGCTGCTTCCCCTGGGACACACCTGACTCCTACCCTCCCCTCAGTCACCATGGCCTGGAAGGCTCAGCAGGATTTAGTCTCTGCCAGCCTTGCTGACCTCATCACTTGCTCCTACTGACGCCTCCCCTCCTCCTGGGGGGCCACCATGCTCAGCCCGACTGGCTGCCCCTCCTCCACCAGGGCCTCCGTATGCTCTTCGCTTGGCTCTTCTTGTCTGGCTGCCTCTTACCTGTCCATCCCAGAAGCCTCCTCTGCTCACCCAGGTGAAGCAGCCCCTGCTGGATCATTCCCTGCCTTATTTGGGACTACACCCATTTCCGTCTGAGCACTGCGTATATTGCCCACTCAGTGACTCCTCTGGTAGCAAGCGGGCTCTAGCAGGAACCTCGTCTGTCTCAATTTCCAAAGTATCCCTGTGTTTGGCCCTGAGCGCCCTACAAAGTAGGCATCATGCAAAAACGATTGAAACCACAAATACAACAAGCATAAGAGGCCTAGCTGCCCCAGAGGAGGGCATTTATCGGGCCTGTGTGTTCATCCTGAACTTCCTGTGTGGGGGAGACGGCTAGGTTATAAACTTTGGCCGGTTGATAACAAGATGACCAGAAGCTGGTTAAAGAAAAAAAGCTGCCTCATCTGCTCCAAATCTCCCTCTCCTCCCACCGAGTAACACGAGCCTTCTGTCCCCCTTTGCACTGCCTTTCTTAACACCTGAACTCTTCAAATTCATCTTAGCGATTTAGTTGGATGAAGCCGCAATGAGGCAAGGGCAGAGGAACACAGCACTCTGCTAAGGACCCCAAACTCTCAACACCTGCAGCGCAGAAGGAGGGCTACAGTCTGGCGGTGAATCGGCTAACCTGCCTGGTGCTAATGGAAGTGTTGGCTGTTCAAGGCCACTGGGAGACCTCAGAAGAAAGGCCGGGGATTCAGTTTGGAAAAATCAGTCATTGGAAACCCTCGGGGTACAGTTCTACTCTGACACACTAGGGGCTCCCTAAGATGGAACTGAATTGATGACAGCGGGGTTGCTTTTTAATCAATCAGTTGGAACTTGAACAGCTCACTTGAACGGGCCTTGGTTTTAGCCAGTAAACAACTCTCTAGACCAGGGCTCCTCAAATTTTTTAAACAGGGGGCCAGTTCACTGTCCCTCAGACCTGTTGGAGGGCCGGACTATAGTTTAAAAACAATATGGGCCACTGGAGATCCCCTTGCAGAGGGGTCTCGGGGAGGAGACGAGCCAGTCAGGGTGCGATGTAACAACGATGAGAAATACAACTTTCCTCTAGTTTCTATATGTTTCCTCCCCGCTCCCACTACCATGACTCGAATTCGGCCTTGCAAGTCTGGCTAGACCAGAGGAGGTACACTGGTACAGATAGGAACTGAAAATCCAGGGAATCCAGGGCGGATGAGCCCTACAGGACCAGTGGTGTGAGTGGTGAAACAGGGAGGGTAGAGGGAGAGTGGGTAGGAAAGAGGGAACTGATTACAAGGAACTATATGTGACCTCCTCCCTGGGGGACAGACAACCGAAAAGTGGGTGAAGGGAGACGTCGGACAGGGCAAGATATGACAAAATACCAATTTATAAACTATCAAGGGCTCATGTGGGAGGGGGGAGCGGGGAGGGAGGGGAAAAATGAGGACCTAATGTCAGGGGTTTAAGTGGAGAGAAAATGTTTTGAGAATGATGTACAAATGCGCTTTACACAATTGATGTGTGTATGGATTGTGATAACAGTTGTATGAGCCCCTAATAAAATGTTTAAAAAAAAAACAAAAAATAAAATAAATATGATCAAATTCCTATGCACATTGCACATATCCTATTTTGAAGTAAAAAAACGGGGCAAAAACACCTGGCGGTCCAGATAAATGTCCTCCGCGGGCCGCAGTTTGAGGACCCCTGCTCTAGTCTAAGGTGAAGTCACTGGATTTCATGAAGTTACCAGGTTAACTGGGAAGGTCCAGGCAACGTGAATCTCCTGCCAACAGGAAATGCCCAGCCTCTGCTGGGTACATGGTTTGTTGGGTGCCGGCAAACCAGTGATGACTCACAGCGCTCTACAATGCACGGCACAGTGTCCAGTGCCACACCGTCCTCACAATTGCTCTCATGGCCGAGCCCACTGTTGCAGTCACTGTGCTAATCCATCTGGTTGAGGGAACCCTCTTTTCCTGCCCCTCTACTTTACCAAGTAGGATGGCCTTCTCTCCAGAGACTGGTTTCTCCTGCATGTCCAGAGTCCGTGAGAGGAAACTGCACCATGCTTGCCTTAGGAGCATTGTGGCTGTACTTCTTTCAAGACAGATTTGTTTGTTCTTTTGGCAGTCCAGGTCCTTTCTCCTTCGTTGGATCTCCACTACTGCTTCCATGAGCATTGATGATGGATGCAAGCACGATGAAACCTTCACACATCCCATCTTTCCTGTTTATCCTATGGGTCCAGGTGTGAGGATTGTGGTTTTCTTTACACTGAGTTGTAACCCGTACTGAAGGCTGCAATCCCTGGCCTTCATTTGCTAAGGAGGATCGAGGATTGCTGGTGCATGACCCTAGAATTATTTCAGGGGAATGTAAGCTTCATGAGGTCAGGGATGTTGCTTTATTTATTGCCATGTCTCCAAGGCTCTGGGCCCCATAGGAGCTAAGTAAATGTCTGTGGAATGGAACTAAGAAAGAGAAAAGCCGGCTCCAAGTTCTTTTTATTAGAGTTCATTTCACTTCCTTTCCAGGAACAGCCCATCACAAAATAACAGAAAGATGTTGACTCACATTTATTAGATACCAGGTATTCATATAAGCCTTTTACAAATTAACCCATATCAACCTCTTGACAAATTTATTAGATAAGAACTACTGTGATCCCTAGTGTAATGTGACTTCTACTTTGTAGTATTAAATGGCTTTCCTAAGGTCACAGGTGCTAGCAAGGCCCTGAGCCAGAATCTGAACTTGGCAGTGTGGCTCTGGACGCTCCTGACTCCTGGGCCATGCTGCCTCTTTGCGAGCTTCCAGCTCCCTAGTCTTCCCCCAAATCTTTTGCTCTATAAACCACCCCAGTTCCTTCCCTCTGTAAAACTTTGCTCAGAAATGCTCCCTTCTAACCACACAGGTCTCATGCCAGTCTTCTGTGCTATGGTGTTACCAACATCGCTGACAGCTCTCAAAACCAAACTCACTGCCACCGAGTCTGACTCACAGTAACCCTGTAGGGCAGAGGGACGTGTCCCTGTGGCTTTCCAAGTTTGTAACTCTTTTACGGGAGTAGAAAGTCTCATTATTCTCCCCCCCAAAGTGGCTGGTGGTTGCGAAAGGCTAACCCTGAGGTTAGCAGCCTCATGTGCAACCACTCTGACCCAGGGCTCCTACTCACCAATCACGGTTCATAGGGACTAAAGCCCGGCACTAACTGCAGCCATCAGTACCTCATTTATTCCTGACCACCATCTTACTGTAGAGACTATCATTTCCTAGTTCAATGCAAGGAACAGGGCCTCAAACAAGATTACTCAAAATCACAGCTAGCAAGCGATGGAGCTAGGGCTTGAACTCACGCCTGGTTCTCCTATCAGTTATGTAATGACCTCCTGGAAGACCTATCACCATCCATTTCATTACACCATTGTCTTCAAAGTACAATAGCCACCACCATCTCACTTGATTATCTTAACTCTTCAAGTGGGATGACCATTTTCACTTTGTTGCTGTTAGTAGCCCTGAATCACCGGCCGACTCTTGGAGACTTGTGCACAACCACCACTAGGGATCACTGTGATCCCCAGGATTTCCATGGACTGATGTTTTCAGATGCAGATTGCCAGGCCTTTCTTCCTCCGATCGTAGGCGGTCAGCCTGCTGACACTGGGTCATGGAGAACACCAGCCTCCTGACAGATGATGGAAAGTGGTGCACTGGTGGTGAATCACACCTGAGACTGCCATGTGCTGCTGTCTGGTGCCACTGGGTCGGTTTTGATGCACAGCAACGGTATGAACAGAAGAATGAAACACTGTCTGGTCCTGCACATCCTCACACTGTTCCTCTGCTTGAGGCCATTGTTGCAGTCGCTCTATCAGGTCGTCTCCTTGAGGGCCCTCCTCTTTTTCATTGTCCCTCTACTGTACCACGCAGGATGTCCTTTTCCAGGGACTGGTCTCTCCTGACATGGCCAAAGTACGTCAGACACATCTCGCCATCCTTGCCTTCCACATGGAAGGCAAGAATTCTAGCGGCGAACCACTCCCGCCCTGTCTTCATTTACTGAGTGGAGCTAGGTGGGCTAATCATGGTATTGAGGTGGTTTCCTGAGAAGAGGGCACTACATACAGCTCTCCTTTCTACCCACGGTCACAATAGCCCCATCCGTGGACCGCTCCCAGCCAGAACAAGGCCAGATGCTTTACCTCCACCGCTTTCTTCTCTTTTTTTTTGCGATCAAAACACTTTATTGAATAGTCGCTTTGGGGGACTGGGGGCCATGAGGTCCGACTGAATCTCACAGCCTTTGAAATTCCTGCACTTCAAGCTCCCTAACAAACCCTGAGAATAATGTAACGTGACCCAATTCTAAAACCCGAGGTTTAGGAGATAAAAAAAAACGATGTCCCTCGCACTGGAGATCCCCTTGCAGAGGGGTCTCGGGGAGGAGATGAGCCAATCAGGGTGCGATGTAACAACGATGAGAAATACAACTTTCCCCTAGTTCCTAAATGCTTCCTCCCCACTCCCACTACCATGACTCGAATTCGACCTTGCAAGTCTGGCTAGACCAGAGGAGGTACACTGGTACAGATAGGAGCTGAAAATCCAGGGAATCCAGGG